AACTGCAGAACTGCAGTCAGCTGAAGTAGCCTGCAGTGCTGCACCCTAACCACTGCGCCACCTTGGCTCTATGGCTGTTTAGTTCATGCTTCATTTTTCGGGTTTTCTGAAGCGTTTGGCTGGAAGCATTATTAAAAACAGAGTACCAGACTATTCAGAGGGGCAGGGCTGCACTTAAGGCTGATCTGATAAATATGCACAATGTCACCCTCTTCATATACCACCAAATCCAGGTAATTTAGGCCTCTGGAAATTTGCTAGGCGTTCAGTCATAATCCCACAGATGGTAGCTTCGCCCCATTGGCTCCTCAGCCATGGGTATTCACCAAAGGTCTGAACCTGTAGTTCCTCTCGTACTGAGCAGGATTACTAGTGCAACAATATCAGGTCATCTATGAATGATTTAGCACTGGGTTCCCCACGAATGTGCCCTTTTCCTGGGTGACGGGCGCACCCCTTCCAGCAGTGCTCTGCTCCCGGGACGGATGGCTTTCCATACCGAGCCGGGCAGCCCGGCTAACTGAGGCCCACGGAGGCTCCTCGGCACTGCTGTATCATTACATTTAGGGGGGATTCTGACTTCAAGGCATTCAGTTGGAGATTTGCAAGTGGTCTGGGCTTTCCAGATCATACAATTCTTGTTTCAGAGTAAAATTATAAAGCCCCTTTCCCTAGTATAATGTGAGAAGTCCTAGAACTCAGCTTTCTGCAAGTTAATTTTTTCCAAGTATTAAATACAATTCAGAAGAGATGGGTGCTTTCCTTAATTAAATTTGATTTCCTAAGTGAATTTTCAGAAGAAATGGGCGGTTGCAGAAATATAATGAATATGCAGAATGATTAAATGTATAACTGTAGTAGAATTAAGACGTTTAGGAACTCATGAGAAGATGCATTCAGAAGTTTACTAATTTTGAATAAGGAGGCCCTGTAAGTGGATTTGCAAGCTGGTAAAGCTTTCCAAATGATCAATGAAATTATTTCTGAACCACATTCTATAAAGAGTGATGATGTAGGGTTGGTTTGAGAGTTAGAAAAATGATACTCAGAGCAAATGATGAAGACATAAACCCAGTGATGAATTACATGCCAAGGAATAACTTTGACCTGAGCAGCTTCCAACGTACAAAACCCACATCCCCCCCCCCCCGGAGCTCTACTAGCCACTCATATATGGGCTGCTCAGATACACATAGATGATTTGTGCTCCTGGGTTGAAACAGGGTTAATTCAGAGTATTACGAAGGGTTAAATAATAAGATGGATGTGAGAATATGCTGGGATCCATTTAGTTTTATTCTAATGTGGAGAGAGATGAGGAATATGTGAAACTGAATGTTTCCCTTAACTCTCTGTCTGCCCCGCTTTCTCTCCTTCTCTGCAGACTCCGCTTGAGCTCAGAACCATCTGCAACTCCTTCTGGGCCTGAAAAGACTGGAATGATGCCATTGGGTTCCTCTAGTAGCCTTAACTCTGAAGATGGATCCAGTGTCCCTTGCTCCCCAACAGGGGTCTCCCCTGGCCTCAAGGTGACATTTATTTTTATTTCTAAAGCTGTCTTGGGATTCTTGCAAATCAGAAATGGACGCTTATGCAATTGGTGGGACACAATCAATAGCAATAGCCATAGCAGTTAGACTTATATACCGCTTCATAGGTCTTTCAGCCCTCTCTAAGCGGTTTACAGAGTCAGCATATTCCCCCCAACAATCTGGGTCCTCATTTCACCCACCTCGGAAGGATGGAAGGCTGAGTCAACCTTGAGCCTGTTGAGATTTGAACTGCTGAGCTGCAGCTAGCAGTCAAGCTGAAGTAACCTGCAATACTGCACTCTAACCACTGCACCACCTTGGCTCTCAACAAATTTACTCAAAAATGTGCTCAACAAATGTCTCGCTCAGCAAAAATAAAGCTTCATAACAACAAACAGGAAGCCAAAAAGTTTGCAACATGGTGGCTTTATTATCCATGCAAGCAA